GCACGGCCAATCCACCCTAACCTGCACATGCCTGGGCACTATGGATAGTTTAGCATGGCCAATCCTCCCTAACCTGCACATCCCTGGGCACTATGGATAGTTTAGCATGGCCAATCCACCCTAACCTACACATCCCTGGGCACTATAGGTAATTTAGCATGGCCAATCCACCCGAACCTGCACATGCCTGGGCACTATGGGTAATTTAGCATGGCCAATCCACCCTAACCTGCACATCCCTGGTCACTATGGATAGTTTAGCATGGCCAATCCACCCTAACCTGCATATCCCTGGGCACTATGGGTAATTTAGCATGGCCATCCACCCTAACCTGCACATCCCTGGGCACTATGGGTAATTTAGCATGGCCATCCACCCTAACCTGCAGATCCCTGTGCTCTATGGGTAATTTAGCACGGCCAATCCACCCTAACCTGCGCATCCCTGGGCACTATGGGTAATTTAGCACGGCCAATCCACCCTAACCTGCACACTCCTGGGCTCTATGGGTAATTTAGCATGGCCACGCAGACACAGGGAGAACGTGCAAACTCCACACAGGCAGAGACTGGGGTCCTGGTGCTGTGAGGTGGCAGTGCTGACCACTGAGCCACCATGCCAACTGTTAGGATGGCAGGACTGATATATCGAAAGACATTGTGTTGGTTCCGACTGTATTCACTGGAGTTTAGAAGATTGAGGGGGCAGGTGGCGTAGAGACTTATAAAATTCTAACAGGACTAGACAGGCTAAACACAGGAAGCATGTTCCCGATGACCAGAGAGTCCAGAACCAGGGGGTCACAGTCTAAAGGAGATGGGGTAGGACTGAGATGTGGGAGAGTGGGAGAGCCTGTGGGGTTCTCTGCTACGGAAAGTAGTTGAGGTCAAAATATTGAATGTATTCAAGGTGGACTTTGATGTAGTTCTTAGGGCTAATAAAGAGAGAAACAGGGACCATGGGACTGAGTTGGATGATCAGCTATGATCATATTGAATGGTGGAGCATGTTCGAAGGGCTGAATGGTCTACATCTGCCCTCTTTCCAATGTGTCTGTGTTTCTAAAGGAATGGAATCATTATCCAAAAGAGATTAAAGCCCACTAGAAAGAAGAGGGAAAGCAAGGGGCATCTTTTATCTCCACTACACACTCAAGGTCAAACTTTGCTGCTCATCCCTCATTGCCCCTTGAGGGGATGACAGTGAGCTGTCAGACCATGCAGTGTGTGCAACTGGGCTTGATTCTCCATCCTGACTTCAATGAAATCCTTGGAATGCTCCAGGCCAATTCAGGGGCCAGTTGAAAGCCAACAAGTGGGTCTGGAGTCACGTGTAGGCCAGACCAGGTGAGGACGGCAGATTTCCATCCCCAAAGAGACAATTCCGCAACCAATCCAAGATAACAAGGTGTAGAGCTGGATGAACACAGCAGGCCAAGCAGCATCATAGGAGCAGAAA